CTTCCTTCTGAGTGATAGAGGGAGAAGGACGGGAGGCAGGAAAGCCAGGAGGAGAAGGAATAGGGCAAGCGATTTTATCAAAGCGAACATAATAGGCGGAGAGAAGCGGAAAAGGGAATGTGCAGAAGTAGACGGGAAGGGAGGGAGAGAGAAAGAGGGATCTGGAGAGAACAATGAAAAGGAGGATGGATGAGGTGATGAGAAAGAGTGCCCTTTGCATGCCCTGAACTCTCCGTTCCTTTCATTTCTCCTTCCTTATGAAGATGAATAGGGTAAGAGAAGAGGAAGAAGGCGAAGGGCAAGGAAGTAAGAGAGGCGAGCGAAGGAGGAATTCTCCTTTCTTCTCCGAACCGTCTTCCCGCATCTCACCGCTTCCTTTCTGTTGTCTGCTCTTCTTTCCTGATATCTTCGCAGAGCCTTTCCTCCTTATCCTTTTCTTTCCTCTGGTCATTCAAAAAGGAAACGATGAGGAGACGCGAACTGATTCTCCTTGCTCCTTCTTACCACACTCTGCTTCTCTACATCCCCCTGCTTTCTTTATATTCGGTTTGGTGTTCATGTCCTCGGGAGGCTCCCTTAGGGAGGAAGTTGGTGGCCTCCAGAAAGTTGTGGAAGTGCCTGAAGGCGCCTACAAGCCTCCTCAAAGCCCTCGCGAGGCCCGGAGTCCTTTGAGATACGGCAACACTGGTACTCTCTCGCTTCCTCTTCTGTGTCCTTCTTCCTAGTCTTCCTCGTTTCTCTTTCTTTCGCACTCGACTTCCCCCGACTTTCTCTTATCCACTTTCACCTATTGCCTCGCTTCAGTCCATGCCCTAGCCTTCACTCCTTTCCAGACCCTTCTGACATGAGTAAGCATCAGGAGAATGAGAGGAGGAGGTGAGCTCTCATCCGCTTTGACCCCTTCCCTTTCCTAGCTCCATGCATGCCCTGCGCCAAGAGAAAAACAAGAGAGCAAAGAGGAAGAAGAGGAGAATGGGGCTTCCGCCCTTTCAATACGTAGCTTTGGCTTACGCTTTTTCTGGCCACCCCTTGCCCCTTCTCTTATCTTCCTCTCTCTTCTTCCTCTGCTGGGCTTGAAGCTCTCCCTCGCTCTCTCTGTATCTCTCTTCTTTCTGTCATTTCTCAATCTCGTCCTTTCCCTTGTCCACTTTCCTTCCTGGTTCCCACTTTTCCAACAGACAAGAAAATCAAAGAAAGGAGAGCGGGCGAGCGGTGGGAGAGGAAGGGCACAAGGTGAGTGAAGAGGAGAACACTTCTTCCTCGTCTCCCTCCACAAGCTCTTCCTGGTGTATCACCAATGAGACAGTGTGATAGGACAAGAACAAAGAATGAATAGACGTGGAGGTCAAGGCACTGTCGGCTGCTTTATGCATCGCCTCCTCTTTCTGTCTCTCTTTTTGATTATCTTTCCCCCATATTTTCTCTCTTTGTTTCTGTATTTCGTCCCTTATGGCTCTCTCTCCGTTTCTTTTGTCTGTTTTCTTACTCCCTTGTCTTTCTCCTTGTGAGTCTTCCTTCTTCCTTCTGAGTGATAAGGGGAGAAGGACGGGAGGCAGGGAAGGGAGGAGGAGAAGGAACAGGGCAAGCGATGGGACAAAGAGAGTGAGAGAAAGTTGAAGATAAGTATCAAATCAAGCATAATGTAGTAGGCGAGAGAAGTGGAAAAGTAAATGTGCAGAAGTAGAGAGGAAAGGATGGAGGGAGAGAGAGAGAGCGAGAGAGAGAGAGAGAGAGGGGGAGATGGACAACGCAATGAACACGATGAAGGAGGAGATTATGAGGAACAGTGTCACTTGCTCTCCCTGAGCTCTCCGTTCTTGTCGCTTCTCCTTCTAATTGTGAAGAAGGATAGGAGCAGAGAAAAGAAGGCAAGGGCAAAGAAAGTCAAAGAGCCGAGTGAGGGAGGAATCCACCTTCCTTCTCCCAACCATCTTCCTCCATCTTATGTCTTCGCTTCTGTTTTCTATTCCTTCCAGCAAGGGAGCAAGGAAAGAGGGGACAGAAGAGATGAGAGAGCGAGACACGGCAGAGAGGAAGACAGAGCGAGAGAGAGAGAGAGAGAGAGAGAGAGAGGCGGAAGAGAGACAACGCGAGAGGAAATGAAAAAACGAACCACGTCGAGAGGAACTGACGTCGTCCCTTTGCCCCTCCCTCGTGTTACCCCTGTCATTGACAGCAGAAGGCGACAAGAAAAGAAACAGAAAAAGGATCAATCAAAGGAAGGAGAGAAGGGAGAGACGAGAGAATGAAGAGTTCACTTCGTCCATCTTCATGCCGATTCCTTTGTCATGACTTCAATTTCTGTGTCTTCTTGACAAACGGCAGAGTGGATAGGCAGGAAGAGGAACGGGAATGAGAGAAAGACACAGGACGAGAAATACACAAGACAGATTCTTGATGGTTCCCGGCGCGAGAGGGACGGGAGGACATTGTGATAGACTGTGATAGACCCTAAAACCAGCACGGAGAACTTGTGAGAGCGTAAAACCATCTAAATCCTCATAAACTCCAAACCTTAGATCTTCCATAGTATACTGACCCCGGTAAACCATAGTTAGGAGCTAAGACCCTAGACCCTTAAACTCCTGTCGAGACCTTTGCACTGTACACGCTTCGGCCTCCCGATGTAACCGTCGTGCCAGACCTTGTCGTCGCCGTGTTGAACCCAGTCGTCGTCGTGCTAAACCGAGTCGTCGTCGTCCTTGTCGCCGTGGTGTTGTTGCAGTTTAAATACAAAGCCCAGCAGGATTGCCAAATAGACCCTAAAGGTCCATGCCACTTAGGGTTTTAGGGTGTTAGTTTAGGGTTTAGGGTTTTAGGGTTTTAGGGTTTAGGGTTTAGGGTTTTAGGGTTTACGATTAGCTGGGCTAAGAAATCACTAGGCCAGCAGTGTAGTAGCAAAAAACCCACCCGCCCAAAGAATCCCAAAACATTAGAACAATATACAATTTCTTCCTAAACCTTAAAGGCCGACCAACTATGCCTTAAAACCCTAGAAGCCACTACTATACTCTAAAACTCGTTGCGCAAGCCACATCCCAACAACAATCGTTAATTTTGCAGACTTCACGTCAAGACAGAAAGGTCCGAGGGACCCAAACCACTAATTTGGCAGTGTTCAGGCCGGACACACTGCCAAATTAGTGGTTTGTGTCCCTGCGGGGTGGTCCGAGGGACCCAAACCACTAATTTGGCAGTGTTCAGGCCGGACACACTGCCAAATTAGTGGTTTGTGTCCCTGCGATGTGGTCCGAGGGACCCAAACCACTAATTTGGCAGTGTTCAAGCCGGAAAGCACTGCCAAATTAGTGGTTTGGGTCCCTGCGGGGTGGTCGGAGGGACCCAAACCACTAATTTGGCAGTGTTCAGGCCGGAAAGCACTGCCAAATTAGTGGTTTGGGTCCCTGCGGGGTGGTCGCGCAGGCCCCCGAGGGACCCAAACCACTAAGGCCATTAACCTTTAAATATACATATGAAAGAGAGGTTTAGGGTTTTGGTTTAGGGTTTAGGGGGTTTTAGGGTTTAGGGTTTAGGGTTTTGGTTTAGGGTTTAGGGTTTTGGTTTAGGGTTTTGGTTTAGGGTTTTAGGGTTTTAGGGTTTTGGGTTTTGGGTTTTGGTTTAGGGTTTTGGTTTAGGGTTTTGGTTTAGGGTTTAGGGTTTAGGGTTTAGGGTTTTGGTTTAGGGTTTTTGGTTTAGGGTTTAGGGTTTTTGGTTTAGGGTTTAGGGTTTTGGTTTAGGGTTTAGGATTTAGGGTGTTACGGTTTAGGGTTTGCGGGCCCTAAACCCTAAACCCTGAACGGGTCTAATGGTTTTAGATGTAAGTTTTAGCTAAAAGGACGGCTCCTAAAGCCCGAACACAACCCGATTCAAGGTTTCTTTAGAGAGCTGCTTCGAAAGCCGTGTCCAACGCAAGACGCGCACCCTGAAGAGGAAATCTAGTTCAACCTGACAAATCTCTTTAACTCGAAATCTGGTGCACTGCACGAGGACATGTGTATACATACATACATGCCATACAGTCTAAGGGAAAGAGAGATACATACACAAACACATTTACACACATGTACACACAAACATAGAGAGACAGAGAAAGAGGGACAAAGAACAAGGTAAAGAGAGAGAGAGAGAGGGAGACAGACAGACAAACGGACGGACGGACAGACAGACAGAGAAGCAGAGAGCGAGAGCCCCTTAAACCCCTAAACCCTCGACCGGTAAAACTCCGAGAGACCCCTAAACCCTAAACACCAAACCCTAAACCCTAAACCCCAAACCCTAAACCCTAAACCCCAAACCCTAAACCCTAAACCCCAAACCCTGAACCCTAAACCCTCAACCCGAATTTCGAGGCTCGGCCTCCGCCGCTGCTTGGATGCCCACGGCACCTCTCGTAGTCTGGCTGCGGTTCTGCTCCATCCAAGGGTCGATGGTGAAGATCCGAGCTTGCCTCGGTTTAGGGTTTAGGGTGTGGGGTTTAGGGGTTTAGGGTTTAGGGTTTAGGGTTTAGGGGGGTAGGGCTTACAAGTGATTTTTTAAGGTCCTAGGAGGGTTCCTTTCAGGGGCCCTCTGAGAGACCTCGAAATAAGGGATCCTTTAGGGTTCCATAAGAGTTCTATAAGGCCTCAGGCCTTCAGGAAACTTAATGGCAACGACTCCGGTGTCTGGCAAGATAAGATGTCCAGTGAGGTCAGTCCCCTAGACTCTTGAACCCCCAAACCCTAGGACCCTAAACTCTACATCCCAGGACCCCAAACGCTGGCACCCCGACAAATAAATCAACGCATAACCCAAAACCGCTGACCGAACAACTCCTGAACCCCAAATCCTGGGACCCTGAACTCTACATCCCAGGGCCCTAAACCCTACGACCCCCATAAATCAAACAACCCATAATAATCCACAGATGCTTGTAAACTATAGTATAATGGGCCCCCCAAACCCTAGTCTAATTATTAAGGCCCCTTTAGTAACTGCTGCTCTGTAAAAACAACCACGTTGCTTCACAGTCTTGAGGACATGAACCGTGCAGGCGGCTTTGCCTGTCCCCACCTGAGGATTCCCCTTAAGGGGTTCTTAAAAAGGGTGTCCTACAAAAGGGGCCTTAATGTAAATAGGTTCGGGTTCCTTTAGAGGTTCCTGTATACTGTCCCTAAATAATACGATTCGATTTGGGTACATGGACCCTTATAGCCTTATACCCCAAACCCCAAACCAAACCCAACCGGGCCCCTGAAGAACCTTGCTTTTTAGGGTTCCCTAATATAACTTCCTTATACAAGTCCTCAAAAAGATAGGGTTCTTCAGGGTTAAAGTAAAACCTAATCCCTTACAGTACTACCCTGATAATGGTAAGAACCCTTCGAAGGCGACAGGGTTTCAGCATGCAAGGGGCTCCCTGATTTAGGGATCTTTGTTCGTGAGAAGCCGGTTTGACTTTACGGTTAAGGGTTTAGGGTTTGGGGCTTAGGGTTTAGGGTTTTAGGGTTTAGGGTGTTGGTTTAGGGTTTAGGGCTTGGTAGGTGCTGCCCTTTGGTACAGTAGATCTAGATTCCTGTTTTCTAAGATCATGTCATGTAGAACTCCCACCTCTATAGGGTCTTTCTAGAAAGGATCCGACCATTTAGGATCAATACTAGGGTTGCACATTAGGTTCCTTGCTGTATGAGTAGTTCTCTAAATTAGGGTTCCCTTTTCGGTCCTCAAATAGTACGGCACCCTTACAAAAAGTACCCTGAACGCTACCAACCCATTTTCGAAGTTGATTACAGAACCCGAACCTTGAAAGGAACCCGATTATAGAACCCTGAAAGGAGCCCTATTATAGAACCGTTTCCCGCCTCCACCATGACCAGCTCCTGTCGCCCGGCGCGCAGAGCCTGAGGCAAGAGCGACCGAAGAAGGCCCACCACGATCTCCTGAGCACTGAGCACCCTTAAGGTTCCTGTAAGGGTTCCTTTAGGGGTTAGCGAAAGAAGACCGGGATTCAGATAATGGAATAGGGGTGTGGGTTGTACTACCGTGTGCTTACCCAGGGGCCAAAAAAGGCATACTTGGCCTAATATTTTAGCAGACCCCTATAGGACCGCTATTGTTGATGATATGATTCCTGCATTACCTTAAGGACCCTAAACTATGGGAATTATGGTATATTCCTTATTTTGGGTCATGCATGACTTATATCATCAACCGTATGACCTTCGAACACGGAAAACCGTTCAGGCTATGAGCCCCAAACCGTTCAGGCTATGAGCCCCAAACCGTTCAGGCTATGAGCCCCAAACCGTTCAGGTTATGCCCCAAACCGTTCAGGCTATGAGCCCCAAACCGTTCAGGTTATGCCCCAAACCCTTCAGGCTATGAGCCCCAAACCGTTCAGGTTATGCCCCAAACCGTTCAGGCTATGAGCCCCAAACCGTTCACGTTATGCCCCAAACCGTTCAGGCTATGAGCCCCAAACCGTTCAGGTTATGCCCGAAACCCTTCAGGCTATGAGCCCCAAACCGTTCAGGCTATGAGCCCGAAACCGTTCACGTTATGCCCCAAACCGTTCAGGCTATGAGCCCCAAACCGTTCAGGTTATGCCCCAAACCCTTCAGGCTATGAGCCCCAAACCGTTCCAAACCGTTCAGGCTATGAGCCCCAAAGTCTCCGTGTGGTGGAGACCCAAATCCACGCGGTGGCGAAGAGGGACATCCGCAAGCGGGCCTCGCTTAGCTGCCACTTCCAGAGTGACCTGGTGGTTCCCGAAAAAAGGGGACCCTAGGGATTCCTTTAAAGGGCTACTATGGGGGTACTGTAATGGTTCCTTTAAAGGGCTCTATAAGGGTTCATATTGGGAGTTTCCAAAAATAGGGGACCCTAATTATAGTACCCTGAATAGTAGGATCCTTATTTTAAGAACCCCAAAATAAGGTATCCCTAATTTCGGAAACTCCCACCTGGTGGTCCAGCACAGAAACTTTCTCGAGCCCAATCTTGGATAACGCCAGGTTCGTGTACAACACAGGCCCAAGCACAGCCGTGCAAGCACCTCATCCAGGGAGCGCATTCGAAACCCGACCCTGCCTCTTGAATCGTTCCTGTCAAAGCCTCCAACGCACTGAAACTTGACACCCTGGGCTGTCAATCCTAAACCCCTAAACACCATGAAGCCCTCTCTCGATCCCAAAACAAACCTCGCAAAGGCCTCCAGCAGCCAAGTCGGCTTCCAAAGTGCTCAAAGACTCCTTTGCTTTAGATTGGATTTCTAGGGTTCGAAGAAAACAGCAACAGTTACCACAGCGACAACAACACTGGTAACAGTGGCCATTAGCAATGTTAGCAATAATTACACATGATCATGCCGGGTCACACAGGGGTTGAACGAATGAGGCACTATAGAGCCCTAAGGGGTTTTGCGCTTAAGGGTGAGCGCCGAGAGTTAGTTTGCTCTGCTGGGGCTCCTATATATGTCGTAGCTTGGGATTACGGCTGAAGATTTCGGAGTACCGAAGCTACAAGGCGTTCATATGCTGTTCGGATATAGAGTTTTACTGGGTTAGACTGGCATTGAGGGTTCAGCAACCCGTACAGTTTTGGCTCTGTTCGGGTCCCTATGATTACAGTAACCTTTTGGAACCCCTAAACAACCTCTCAAGGAACCTTTAAAGGAGCCGAGGCCAGGCGATCTTCGGGCTCGAAGGCCCTGCGGCCCAACCCCCAGCCAGGTCCAAGGTTTTTTGGCTTTTAAATCTGCAATAGTGGGCTTTTCTGTCGCCAGCTTGCCCCTGTGTTTAGGGTTGAGGGGATTTGATTTAAGGTGCCGTCACAAGGAAACCATATTTATTTACTGTAAATCCCTATGCTGGCAACTGAAATTAAATCCTTTAATCCCTAAACCCCTTATAGAACCCTTAAAGGAACCCTAAAGTATGGTTTAAGGTTCACTTAGTAATAGGGTTTAGGGGTGCCGGAATTTTGGGAGCGCCCGGGCATCTAAACAACGTGCTCTCTTTCTTTGAGTATACCGCAACCTACCAGAACCTACTTTTTTGTAGGACCCCTATAAATCCCAAGTTTATAACAAGAACCTACAAAAAAGTAGGGTTTACAAGGTCTGGGTAGACGTCTTAATTCAGGAGCCACGACCCCTGAGCCCCAAATCCCCTAAACCTGATACGCCTATATTTATGTCATCAACCCTAAACCCCAAACCCAACCCGAAAACCAAAACCCTAAACCAATAATCCCAGAATCTTGAGCTGCCGCCAGCGCGGTCGCGGCCACTTCGCTCGGCGCGCCCAGCCCCACCTTTGGAGGGGTTTGGGGGTTGTGGTGTTGGATTTTTGGTGGGTAAGGGCTACGTCACAGTTTAAGGTTTGGGTTTTATGGGTGGTTTACAGAGTAGGGGTTTCAAGGTTTAGGGTGTGCACTGCAGGATTCTGAGTTGAGGCTTGGAAGGTTTCGGGCTTAGGGTTTCGTTGGGGATACACAAACGGAGCATGAGCTTGAGGGTTGCAAGGCATCTGGGTTTAGGCAGGGCTTCCAGTTTTTCGGGGATCCGAACATTGCAAGCTGTCGGGGCTTAAGTTTGTCGACGCCCACATTTTGACTTCGCCGAAACCCTCCGTGACGTCGGCAGAGCTCGCCAAAGTCAGAATCCAGGGCATCCTGCGATTCCAGGCAAGCAGGGAACCCTCAAGCTAAACACACAACCTGATTCCTCCACACCCGTGCGTGTACATGCCGCAGAGACCACAAGGCCTGACACACAGTCACGAGGTTTCGCGAGATGCAAGCACCCGACATTAGACAGGAAGCTCAATCCCAAAAATTAAGGAAGATACCTTAATTTGAAAAGTCGCCTGGCTGGGAAATATAGGGGGCCTGAATAATTAGAATGAGGTTTTGGGTCCCAGTATACTATAAGTGTAATAAGGAACCCCCAAGATAGTATTGGTAATTATTTAGGCCCCTATGTTATATAGGCTCCCTGAACCTCCTCCCGCTGGCCTGCGCCTTGGAAAGGATCTCTTTCGAGCGCGCCAATGCCGCCAGGATCGTTGCTTGGTCACAGGAGCCAACACCCAGGGCAGCGGCACAGCCAGAAGAAATGCACGCGATGCCGCCCTGCGTGTTGAGCCATGAGTTGGCCTGATACAGGTTTAGCGTTTAGAGTTTTCGGGATGTGGGCTTGGGCTTTAGGGTTAATTGTTGTCCGGTTTCCTATGGATCTAAAGGTCAGCCCTGAACGTTTGCGGGCGGAGGGGGGGTATGCAACCCGGTTGGATGGAGAGGTTTGGATGTAGGTTTGACGGGCTTGGGGCCGAGGGATTTCGGGTGTAGGTTTGCGAGCTTTTAATTAAGGAGTTGAATTAGGGCACTGCTTGGCCTGGTAAAGGGGCTCGGCCACATACTTGTCCACTGCCTGAAGAAAGAGCCTGGTTGACTCCAGTTCCTGCCAAAGTCCAACTTGAGCTCGTATTTCCCTAAACCGTAAACCGGAAACCACATAAGCCCTTAACCTACACCCTGATCTTCAAAACCCGAAACCTGAACCCCAAGCTCCTAAACCCGAAACCCCAAAAAACAAACCAGAGTAGGGTCGACATCACCACCCCTCGCATGTTGATACTTCTATATTTCTTCTGGGATATCTTTACAGGTTCTTCTCTTGATGATATAAATCCTGCATTACCCATTGTGAGGAATATACCATAATTCCCATAGTTAGGGTCCTTAAGGTAATGCAGGATTTATATCATCAACCGTTCCACCAACTTAAAGCAAATCACAATATGTTGAGTCTATTTGTGTTCTCTAATTCTGGGGTCCACACTGCTGTCTTCGATGTTGAAGAGCACACCGCCTGCTCTGAAGCTAGCAATAAAGCTCTCCATCCATCCCTTCCTCCTTGCCTCCCTCCCTTCCTGCATCTCTCTCTCTATCTCTCTCTATCTCTCTCTATCTCTCTATCTCTCTGTATCTCTCTATCTCCCTCTCTCTCTATCTATCTCACTCGCTCCCTCTCTTCGTAACCATGGTCCGAGCTTTGATGCATCCGCCAGCCAAGGTTGGCATCTGCTGCCCGCAGAACTGGCCGGCTTTCCTAGGGGCTGGTTCCTTGAGGGTGAAGGGGAGGTGAAGGGGTCTACATATCCCTAAACCCTAAACCCTAAACCCGCTCGGGGGCTACTATAAGGGTCCCCATAAAGGATACCTATGGGGTTTGGGGGTCTATAGAGGTTGCTATGAGGGTCCCCATAAAGGTTACTATAGGGCCTACGGGTTTTATAGGGGTTGCTAGTTTAGTTTTCGGCATTATGGACTAGGGTTTACTGGGGTTCAGAATTTACGATTCAGGGTGTAGCTTTGTCTCAGAACCCAAGCAACGGAGGGTTCTGGGCTTCCAGGTGCAAGCTTGCTCTTTCGGATGCTGGACGTGGAGGTTGAGGGTTTTACGGTCGGTGAGGGCCTACAGCCTCAAACGTTAAGCCTCTGAACCCCCAAACTCCTACCCATAAACCCCAAAGCCCGAAACCCCTGAACCCTAAACCCCAAACCAAGCCCTGAAACCTGAGTACATCCTCTTCAGAATCCAAAACAAAACCTTAACCCTGAGCCCGGTTGAAGCCCTTGTAAAACCTGATAGAAGCCCTATGGAACCTAAACCCCTCAACCCCAAACCATAAACCCGAAAGCCTTAACCCTAAACCCTAAACCTTTGACCCTTAACCCTAAAACCCTTAATAAATCCTTGACCCTAAACCCTGAAAGCCCCACAGAGTCCTCTGAGAGCCCTATGGAACCTAAACCCCTCAACCCTAAACCCTAAACCCTCTGAGAGCCCGTCTTTGTGCCAGGCGCCCGGGCCATGGGAGGAGTCGGCGCAGCGAATCAGCCATGGCAAGAGCTGCCACCAATTCATTGAAATCGGGTGTAGGGTTTAGGATTTAGGGTTTAGGGGTTAGGGGTTTAGAGTTTAGGGCTTAAGGGTTTAAGGTTTAGGGGTTTAGGGTTTAGGGGTTCAAGGGTTTAGATTTCAGGGGGGTTTAGGGGTTCAGTAGGGGTTGAGGGGTTTAGGGTTGAAGGGTTTAGGATGGTTTGGTATGGTTTAGTATGGTTTCGGATGGTTTAGGGTTTACGTACAGGTCTAGGACTTCGGTTTTAGGCTTGACAAAATATATAGGAGAAACGAAATTACTAACTACTCAGGATTCTCTGCATTACAGTCTAGGGGTTTAGGGGGTGATGGGGTTTATGGCTTGAGGGGTTTAGGGCTCAGGTTCTTTTACGGGCTCTGTGTGGGCATTGGGTGCAGGATTATCGCTGTTCGGGGCCCGGGGGCTTAGGGTTTAGGGTGCAGGGGCTGGGTCTCCGGTTGCAGCCCACGAGGGGTGGGTTTAGGGGCTGCAGGTTTGACGGTCGACTGTTGTTGAGCAGAGGGTGATCTGAGTTGGGGGGTTTGAAAAGCTTGACAGAATGTTGGCAGAGGAATATCGTCCCGTAACTTGTCTTTAGGTTTGGTGCTTGTGGGGTGTAGGAACCCCTCCACCCTGAAAATTGAATCCCGACCCCATATTGCACCCGCACGGGTCGCGAGAGGCATCAAGCATTGTTGCCTTTCGGCATTTACTCCTCCGGTAACGACCAGACATCAAAAGACTTCACTACAGTCGGAAGTGTTTGTTATCGCTTGTGCCTGCTAGCCTCTGTGTTGGACAGCAGCTTTCGGTGCCTGGGTTAACTGCTCGTTCCGAAACCCTCAACCCCAAACCCTAAAACCCTTATTGCACTCGGCAGTCTTTTCTTTGCACCAGCCTCCCATGCCACGGAAATTGCCTTGGGCTCCTGCTTGATTCCTTACCATCCCTATCATCCCAGACGCGTGCATTGAAGTCTTGGGAATCCTTGCAAACCCTAAACCTCACCCTAAACCCTGAACCCTAAAGCCTAAACCTCAGGTCTTCATTGAGGCGTCCTTGGTTCTCAGATACTTGGAAACCCTGAACCCTCAACCCTATAGTACCCCTATAGAGCCCTTTAAAGGAACCCTTAGAATCCCCTTCAAAGGAGCCAGCCGAAAACGAAGAGATCTAGGAGGTGCTTCACTTCAGAGCCCTTAAGCCGAGAACCGGTGCAAGAAGCGAAGATAGCCTAGGATACCCAGTAACCTAAGAATAAAAAGGCCTCTCTTTTTGGTATTGGGTAACTTTAAAAGGAACCTAGGGCTACAAAAAGGGAATAAGAGTACTACTGGGCATCCTAGTAGCTTCAATCAAAGCCTGAGCCATCAACCCTACAACCCTAACACCCGAGGCCCCAAAACCCTAAACTCGGAAAGCCTGAACCCAAAAATCCTAACACCCTCAACCCTGAAACCCTAAACCGGATCCAAGACTAAGGAACCCAAGATCCCAGTACATAGGTGCCTGCAGAATACGACTTTGTTTAAGTCTTTCTTTGGGGAGAGGGGTTAGGGTGTAGGATGCAGCTTTTGGTGGAGAGGTGTATGTGATGCAGTTGTATACGTTCACAGGGACCAGAAAGGTGACATTAGTACTGACTCGTCGCACCTCGAAATCATTGAACATCAGAGAGACTACAGTGCTTTCGTTTCCCCAAATTTAGAGCCGAGTGACTGTTTTATTAGAAGTATTTGTAGCGCAAAAGGCCTGAAGGGTGTAGGGTTCTTCGTTGAGCATGAAGGCGTAACGTGCAGACTTGGGGTATGGCTGGACTGAAGCTGGTTTGACAGCTCGTAAGGCTTACAATGAACATGTTTTGATGATTCATGGGTCATTGAAAGGAATCAAGTGTTTCAAAGCCTAGCCGTGTCAGCTTCACTTTCACAGGAGAGGTGGCCCACAGGGCGACGGCATAAGACAGCCGTGGCCACTTGTCTCGCAGCATCGCCGCTGCCGCATCACGCATTTTCTCGGTCTCCTCCCAGTGTTCCAAACCCTGATCCCTAAACCCTATAAGCCCTAGTGTTCCTAAACCATCCCCAAACCCTAAACCCTAAATCGCAGTGCTCCTGAACCCTGATCCCTAAGCACTACAATCTTGTGGGAAAGATCATTGTCCGAGGATACCTCAAGCTCAGACACGTAGGGGTTAGGACGAGGCAGAAAGGGCTTTCGGCCTTCAAGGAAAAAGGGCAATATAGAGGCCTGAAGAGTTTTAATAGTTGCTTGGGATAGTTCTATACTTATGACAGGAATTGGGAAGGAATTCTGTTATGTAGCTTTTTGCTCATCAGCACGCTAAACGCAGTACATCTCTTAACTTGGCCTTTCTCAGCACTAAGGCCTCACGATGCCTGAGATTTGGGGTGGCCGTGGTATGCCAGCGACAGAGGCCTTATTTTGACAATGTCGTTAGGGATTTAAAGTTCTTGAACGGGGTGTAACGGACTCTACAGAGGCTTAAGGGCATTGGGCTCTACTGATCTCCCACGTCGTGCTCCTAGAGTTGTGGAGTTCAGTCCTCCTCTTACCCTAAACCCTAAACGGTTTAGGGGTTTAGGGTTCACGGTTCAGGGCCCTAAACCCCGAACCCTGCCCAGTGCAGTCCTCCTCTTGGCTGGAGTCGTCTCCAACCACACGCTTCTTGCGAAACAATCGCAGGCACTCGCGGTTCACGCAGACCTGGTTTAGGGATTGGGCTCCGGCTTGAAGCCTTAGGGTTCAGAGTACGGAGTACCTGACCAGGTACTTCCACTCTATAAACCCTATAAACCCCTAAACCCTGAACACTAAACCCTGAACCCCTAAACCCTGAACCCCCGTGAATCCCTTATATACCCCCTTAATCCGAAACCCTAAACCCACCTTGTTATCTCTACACGACTTCCACCTCAGAATGCACGAGGCAAGTCCCCGGAAAGGCTCCCACGCTGGCTACGGAGCGGTCCAAGGACTGTGCAAGGCTTTGAAGAAGGGTGCTCTCTAAAGCGGTTTAGGGTTTAGGGTTGAGGGTTCAGGGTTTAGGGTTTCGGAATTTAGTTTAGGTTACAATAATTGGCTAACACTTCAAGCAAAACGTACTTGTGACACAGGAACAATAAATTTACACACATACAATAATAGGGATCCAACAGGGTCCTCTCGGGAGCTTCCTTGTGGGAATACTAACAGGATACATGATAACCCACATCTTCCACACAAGTTCTGCTCGGACTCTGTGGGGTTTAGGGTTTACCTTAACCCTGAAGAACCTACCTTTTTGAGGACTTTTATAAGGAGATCGTTTTGGGGAACCCTAAAAGCGAGGTTCTTCAAAGTCCAGGTAGTTGCAGCTGCATATTCACAGGGGGTGCGACTGGAACAAGAGGACACCGTGAGCCGCACTCCCAAACCCGCAGCCGACAAGACTGGGCCTGCCTCTTCAATCTGAAAGCCCTCTGTCCTGCA